TCTCCTGTAAATTTTTAAAATGTTGAGATAGGGCCGTCTGCGTTTTAGGTGACGATGTTTTTCTTAAATTTCTTAAAAGTGCAAAAAATGTACCAGAGGAAGACATAATTACCCGTTTTAAAAAGCTTAATTGCTTTTTGCTATAGATAATAATTAGTATTTACGCTCAAAAGTACTAACTTTGCCCATTTTTCATCCACATACCCCTTCTTCTCCCCTTTTAATACTAATCAATATACTAATCAATATATACTATGTTCGAAATTTAAGGAAAATTCTTCCACCTGTTTAAGTGTGATTAAAAGATAGCATTGTTTTAAAATACAAAAAATGTTTAAAAGAATACATTAAAGTAGTTTGAATTGTCTGAAGATATGCATTTTTTTGAGTGTTTACAAATTTCCTTTTTACCGTTTTTCCCCCTAATGGTGGGCTTTCGAAATATACATATTTCTGAGATTATAAAAATCATAGTCTATAATATTTGATTTCATAATAGAAAAAATCGGTCTTAAAGCAGACCGACCATTTGGCCTATTTTTTGTACCCTCCTGGTCCAACATTCCCAACGACACTTTGCTAGTACATACATATTTCTGACAAATTAAAAAGTTTAATCAAAAATGATTTTGCTAAAGTATAGATAAAATCAGTATTTTCTCTCAAAAGTATTAATTTTTGCCGTTTTTACCCATTTAAAACCCCCTTGTTGTCCCCTCCTAGTCCAAGTTTGAAAAAAAATATAGCCTATAACAATCTCCAAGTATTTATTTCAAATTTGAAGACGACTTACAAAGAGATTTATAATATATTTATATTAGGATATTGGGATTATACATAATTTATTTTAATTAGCGATATGATTTCCATTTATCATTGTAAAATGTAAACACCAAAAACTCCATTCTACTAAGTTTAACAAAAAGCGCACACACAACAAAATCTTACAAATCAAACAACTCATCAAGTCTTTTCATCCATACTATCCAGTCAAATTACGCTACTATCCAGTTTTTATTACGTGGATAGCAAGAAAACGAAACCAAGAACTAAACAATACGCAAGCAGCTTACTCAGTTCGGTTGATTCGGTTGTTCAGTTCGGTTGAGTTGAAAAAACTTAACATGGCCGCTGCTTGTTTGTGTGGCTGCTGAAGAAAAACAAAATCACTTGCTAGTTATTGCAGCATCGTGTGCGCACAGTTGACAGATTTCAGTTAGCTTCTAAAGGCTGTGTTAGTCTCTACGTTCCATTCCGTGATGAATCAGCTGATTCCTTTTTGGCTTACGAAAACCTGTGTAAGTGGTTAGTTTTGCCGTAACGTTTAATTTACGTTGCGGATGAACCTGTAGAAAATAGATTTTAATCCGCAACGTTAAGTGACAGCTACAAACAGCTGACATAAAATACAAAAAATGTAAACAAGAAGAAAAAAAAACAGTGATGTTAATGTTTTAAAAATAATAATGTACATCCGAAAAATTTTATTTATTACTATTAATTGAAACTTAATATTAAACAATAAAATTAATAATAATAATAAAATAGTAAATATTTGAAATATGTCAAAGAAAATATAAGAGTTGACATTAGTTTCAACATAAACGCCATAAGAAAAAAGAAAGTCCAAGAAAGAAATTAAAAAAATCGTGTTTCGAGTTTCGTGTTTTTATTTTTTATAATTAATTTAATTATTAAAATTCGTTATAAATGTGTCCACTGATAATCATTGGTCAAGAAGTTTGTAGATCGTTTTTTTTTAAATCGATGACGAGAAATAAATTTTTTAAGTTGAACAAAATGATATTTTGTATAATAAATTTAACAAGGAATATAGATTGCCGGAAAAAAAAGATCGTGTGGACAAAAATTTCTAAGGAAATGGGAATTCCTGGTAAGTATCATAAAAGTCTATAATACAATTGATTAATAAATCTGTTTCATTTTTATTTATTTAATTGCAGAGAACAGAAAATTACAAATGTCTTCAATTTAAGCGCTAAATCTATGTAAAATTGTAAATATATGGAAAAAAAGCAACTCTACCAAAGAAAAAATCAACTCTGGTTTTTGACACAACAAATCAGAGTTGCTTTTTTTGCTGTTATTCTCAAAAACAGCTGCTACGTTCATACATAGAAACTAACTACACATAAACAGTCAACGGAACGTTACAGAACGGAAACGTTACGGAACGTAGAGACTACCCTATAGCCTTAAGGGAAAAGTAATACTTGAACATTTTTCAGTTTAGTCGGCAATTTAGAAAATAAAACTAAAAACTAAATATTAAAACCTGATTTGAAATATATATTTTTATTTTCCATTTATTAAAAAATGGTTGAAATTTTCTTAGAAAAATTTTGTATTTCTTTATGATTTTTAGATTAAAATTGTAATTGGCGGGATTTTATGAAGAATAGATATTTTACTATATTTGCTGATGTTTTCTTGTTTAAGATATTGTTTTCAGCATTTCAATTTATATTTTTTTATTATACAAAATTAATAAAGGATTACTATCCTACTAAATATGGAAACGGATTAGTATATATTAGACTTTGTTAGCAATTTTTTCAATGAATATTGCAGAAAAAAAGTAAAAATTCAAAAAAATTCCGTCATGTACAATTAATAATTCTATGAACTTTAATAATTTGAATGAAAATGGTTTGGGAAAAAAATGCATGTTCGATTCATACAATTTATTACAAAATTCATTCCAGTTATGTATAAATTTTGTCTGTGCTTGTTGCAGATGAAGCCAGCTTACCTCTGGCTTATCCTACGGTTATATCACCGCTCTTGAAAGAATGAGAAAATCCAATTCATTCTTTGCCAGGATACACGTGCTTACCTTGTCCTCAGAAGACGGGACAAATAAGGTGTAACCTTTGACCCTTAAGCCAAGAACCTTATTGTTGTTAATTCAAGGTTTCTGGATAAGGGCCACGTCCATCTGTGAATCACCACTAGCAACCTCTTGGTTCTGTCAGTTTTGGGTACCGGAACCTGACAGTGACAAGACCAAATCTAGCAATCCCTCCCATCTCATCTAGGACATCTAAGGACTTACGATCCACTGCGAATCGAAAGTTCTTGCCAGTATTCTCTTTACACACCAGTGAGTTCACATGTCTCCATTGGTCTACTATGGTTTGCACCGTTCTCACGGGTCTCTCACTGTTACTACTGACCGTAGTGGCAATTCGGAAGGCTGTATCACCTCAAGCTTTGCTGCAGGGTTAATGTCGCTACTTTTGCCAATTGCCGATTTTAAGAACTCCAAGGAGTTCTTGTTTCCGCGATTGACAACCTTCACTCCCTTAACCCAAAATTTGTTTAACATAGATTTTAAAAAAACTGAAAATGGAGTTTTGAAACTACCGTGTAAACAATTTTTTTTTTTTATCGTAGCTAAGAACAGGTTCACGATATCTTTTAAGGACAAAAACTTATATTCGAGTAAATATGATATATTTTATGTAATAAAATAGATTTATTAGAATATTTTCCAAAACAATATACTCAAATCATTACAATCAACTAATTATTTTTTTTAATAATGAGACTTTCTAACCTAGGAAATAACACCCATTACCGAAATTCAAGAACATTTTGCTGAGATGCTTATATAAATATATAATCTTGTGATGTTTATTAATTAAAATAAACTTCTTTACAGCATGGCATCCTGCGAAAAATCAATCAAATTATCGATGTTGTTAACACGGCACACGACACCGGGACATCATGGCTGGAAGGACTATTAAACAGTGTATGTAAATTTTTAATTAATGACATATTTTAGATCAATCAAAACTTTCATATTGTATTACAACTATGGTATCTTCAGAATTTCTTTCTTCAATCCCATAATACCGAGATTGGTAAAATTTTAACTGATAGCCCAGGAAAATAAGGGTTTTGCTGCGGAATTTTAGATAGCTATGCTTATGCATCTCCTTAGCATAATAAGTAAGGGATTAAAAGTCACCGAAAATATCGTGTGCGCTAAGCGAGATATTTGGGGTCAAAGGTTATAAAAATCAGTTTTTAGCGAATATCTCGCTCATTTTGCGTTGTACGCGTTTTTATGTTATAATAATTTTTATAGAGAATTGAATTTCCTACATTTTGGTTGAGTAGATAATAAATGTTATTTTTGGGCTTTTGTATTAAATGTGTATATTACCCTTATTAATTATATTATTTAAGTCAAATTAGTTGTATTCTATAATACTACAATTCCACTTCCGTATAACTTCCAAAAAATAGCATAAAAATTACTTCTTCAGAAGTAGTGAATTTGGAATCAAATAAAAGGACATCCCTCCCATGACAAGCCTGTGTTTAAATCATCACTTCTTCAGGTCTTTTTCAGTTCTTCTATGGAGTAAATTCTACTTCTTTTTCGCCTCTTTGGAAGTTCCTTTTTTGCTGGGTAATAAAGTACACAAAAAAAGCAAATACTTTACAGCTGAAAAAACTGTATTACCTACATTTGTGTCAGATTTTTTAAATATTTTTGTATTTCTTAAGCTGGAGGCACAGGGTATACAGAGGCGTCACGAGCAAAAAACTATTTCTATCTCTTTCAACACAAGTTTCACACTTTTTTTAGCTAAACAACATCTTATTGTAGACTTTTTAATCGTCAAAGGTGACACCTCTGTATACTTTGTGCTGGAGGTCCCAACACACAACAGAATCAATCAGGGTACACTCATAAGGTGAAGTCAATTCAACAGCTGATCACTCATTTTTTTATTTGAGGTAGATACAACTGTCAAAGTACACCATTTAGAGTTGCCACAATCCGAAAAAAATTTGTACATCTATCTAGGGATTCATTATATTTTTAGGACAAAAAAATAATAAATTAATTTTTATTCATTTTAATCCGTAGTAAATTTATGCGAAATACTCAAAAATTGCACAAACTATTTGTCTTAAATATGCATCTATTTTATCAGTTATAGGGAACTTTTTACTAATCAATTGAGAGTACAAACATCCCACAATTGTAAATAAAATTATTAAAACTTGATTTTATCATAGATATCATAATTTTTAACAACTTTCCATGGTAGTGGTTTGGTCACATTTCTATAAAGATCATTATATATTTCTTATACGACAATGGTAGAGACCTACACGGTATTATAAGTTCCCAATATTGACTGATAAAAAATAATATGTATATAATTTGTATTTCTGCTACCACATACTTACAATTTTGTAATCTAATACTAATTTTTTGTTATTTTAATTGATAATTTATTTACTTTTTAATAAGTAAATAATAAATAATATTCTATTTTTCAATTCGTGTATAATTTTTAATAAATTTTATCTTATAATACATATTTACTTTACGTGAAGAGATTTTTGGGTATGTGAGATTATCTTTTTGTAAGGTAAATTAAAAAAACACGGTGGCAACATGTAAATTTTTTGACAGAAGTATCTACTTCTGTTGTTTTTGTAGAATTGACTTCACCTTATAAGTGCACCCTGGAATCAATGTTGTTGTGTGCTACAAGTTACAAGTATAAAAGGGTTGACGCGTAGAATGTTTAAAGTAGATCTACTTTCTACTTTTGTAAGCCTCATAAGCGGCGTACGAACATATCAGCTGATTTTGACAATTATATCTATTTTTAATGTGTATTTATCAATTTTAATACACTAAAACGAGTTAAATTTTGAGAATATAAATAAAAAACTTTAAAAACGGGAAGTTCTTTGTAAATAAAGCAAAAAATTGACGCTTAAGAAGCGTAGCATGTAACTTGATGCGTATGATGCAAAGTGGCGGTTTACACAAGGAAACTTTTAATTTTGTGTTTGGGAGAATGAGATGGTTGATATTTCGTTCTCTTTTTCTCACACACAAAATCAAAAGTTTGCCTGTGTTAACCGGCAAAATAAAGGCATGAAAAGCACGAAATGCTTTGCCGCGAAATCGCGTAGTGTGTGGACCTCCAGCTTTATGCGTTTTTATGTAAAACTGAAAAAATAACGAAATACAGAACACTAAATAAAATACAGAACATTTTCACGTTGTTTAGCAAAAAATAATTTATACAGAACAGGGCTCTAAAATACAATACTATTTGTATAATACAGAACGTCTGGTCACCGTGGTTATAGTGCATTCATTTTTCATGCAATGACATTTTCAAATCTTAATATTTTTAACTCCAATAGATCTACTTTCTACTTTTGTAAGCCTCATAAGCGGCGTACGAACATATCAGCTGATTTTGACAATTATATCTATTTTTAATGTGTATTTATCAATTTTAATACACTAAAACGAGTTAAATTTTGAGAATATAAATAAAAAACGGGAAGTTCTTTGTAAATAAAGCAAAAAATTGACGCTTAAGAAGCGTAGCATGTAACTTGATGCGTATGATGCAAAGTGGCGGTTTACACAAGGAAACTTTTAATTTTGTGTTTGGGAGAATGAGATGGTTGATATTTCGTTCTCTTTTTCTCACACACAAAATCAAAAGTTTGCCTGTGTTAACCGGCAAAATAAAGGCATGAAAAGCACGAAATGCTTTGCCGCGAAATCGCGTAGTGTGGACCTCCAGCTTTATGCGTTTTTATGTAAAACTGAAAAAATAACGAAATACAGAACACTAAATAAAATACAGAACATTTTCACGTTGTTTAGCAAAAAATAATTGATACAGAACAGGGCTCTAAAATACAATACTATTTGTATAATACAGAACGTCTGGTCACCGTGGTTATAGTGCATTCATTTTTCATGCAATGACATTTTCAAATCTTAATATTTTTAACTCCAATACAGATAATGTCCCATTTTTTCTTTCTAATATTAGCTAAAAGTACATAATTAATTTCTGTTACATCCTTTATCACAGCATCACTCTCTGCTCCATAGTGTGATGTCCGTCTATCCGAAATTTCCGATGGGGTCACAGGTCACAATTATGAATATAATTTGAAATATATTCCAGGAATATATGTCCACCAATTTAATCGATTTAATTGTCTAATATAGACAACCTACTTTAATTTGAAAATTCAAAAATTTTTTACAAAATATTTAAAGATAAAGTATGATTTTAATAAAATTTGGTGGGAATATTACCCCAATTATGTGGATTGTGACCACCAATTGCATTGCACTATGGGTCATAAAGCGAGTTTGAGATATAAAGTATAACAATGTATAAGCATATATTAACTGCTTATCAAAAACGTAAAAATTATGACAAATTTGTTATTAGTACAATTTTTATTAAGATTTGAAAATATTAGTGCAATGGAAAACAATGCACTATAGCTCGAAAACAACTAATGATACGCAAAAATATTTTTCAACCCAAATGCATGAATTTCAATTCTCTATAGAAATTATGATAACATTAAAATACGTACGACGCATATTAAGCAAGATATTCACCAAAAACTGATTTTTGTAACCTTTGACCTCCAATATCTCGCATAGCGCACAAGATAATTTCGGTGACTTTAAATTCCTTACTAATTATTCTAAGGGGAAGATATGTGCCAATTTTTATTTAGCTATGTGAAATTCCCCAGATTGTTCATTTTTTTGCCAAATTTTTTTTTTATTTTATTCTTCGATTTTTTAAGTTTTTTTTTTTTAAAAACAAACAAAATATTTTTTCAGTTTCATTGTTTATTAGAAAATTATCATTTTGGTTTGTTATTAAGTTATTAGTTAGTTAGTTAGTTTGAAAGAAGGATGTACCTAGTCATCTGTTGTAACCTGTATTAGATATTGAATACGAGTAATCAGTAGGTAGACCAGATTTCCTACATTTCTTGTAATGTTTATTTTTCAGGCTAGGAAGAAATTTTATGTTCTAGAGTGGCCTTTTTTTTCGCTTTGCGAGATGTTGGAGGTCAAAGGTCACAAAAATCCGTTTTATGAATATCTCGTTTATTATGCGTCGTAATTAAATGCTCTTATAATTTCAATAGAAAATTAAAAATCCTATATTTTATTGACATATTATTTTTGCATATCATTAGCTGTTTTCGAGCTATAGTGCATTATTTGTTCATTGCAACGATTTTTTCAAATCTTAATATTTATAACGCTAAAGATACATAATTAATTTCTTCTTATTACTGCATCACTCTCTGGCCCAAAGTGCAATGTCCATTTATCCAAAATTTTCAAAAGTTATAATTATGAATATAATTTTAATAAAATTTATTGACATAATTACTGCACCACTCTCTGGCCCAAAGTGCAATGTCCATTTATCCAAAATGTTCAAAAGTCATAATTATGAATATAATTTTAATAAAATTTATGGACATAATCTACAAAGTCACAGGCCTATTTCCACTTGATTTCATTGAAATCAGACTACTACAAGCTATAATATATGTAGTTAACCGGCTTTAATTTGTTTCTAATATTAATGCATACTAATATATTAATGTACTAATATACATTTTTGTGCTAAGAAATAATAAGGTTCTGTCATTCACGAACGAAGTAATTATAAGACCAACCATAAGATGTTCCTAAAATCGTTGAAAAAAAAGTTTTATTTTACTATTTAAGGGTTATTGTACTTAGAGATGTTATTGATCTGACTTAGAGAAGAAGACATTTTTCTTCTCTAAGTCAGATCAATTGTAAATAAGGTTGTTATTCCGATTAGTCATATATGGAGTAATTTTTTTGTACTAACAGCCAAGTAATATTTTTTTGAAATTTTGTTGTATAAATCATTCTTATTAAATTAATTCAGA